GAGGTGCATCTGGATCTAGATCAGCTCTGGGAGGGTGAGTCCCCCAGAGAGGGCCTTAGGTGGATGCCCTGGGAGGGCAGAGGGATTACTCTAACGGAAGCAATCCCTAGAAAGGGAACTCCCAGAACCAAGTAACCAAAGAGAGTTAGTTATAGGTCCTCCAGATGAAAGGCCTGTTCTTTGTTTTTTTGAGCTAGAACAACTAATTAGAATTCAGTATTCAAACTAGTAAATAATAATACTGGTCAATAACAGAGATATACATTATAAAGTTAACCCTGCAATCCTTTTTGAGAAAATAACAAAACAAAAAACAAAAAAACAAAAAAACCCAACTCTCTCAAATCCCACATAACAGCACAAGTCCTAAGTTAGCGTTTAGGTCAAGTGGATATCACCTCCTCCCCATCTGGCCTAATAACTCTATCCTGCAATGAAAGCAGTCCAGAGCTGCGGGGGACAATTTTTAAGGAGAAGATACTTTAGTAAGAGAAGCTACTTCTGGGCAAGTGTCACTGTTCATGCTCCTAAAGGTATGGTAAGGAATTATTAACAAAACTGGTATTTTCTATTCTGCTTGTGTTAAAATTTGACCAACATTAATGGTGATAAGACTTTTGATTTGATTATCCTTTGTGTGAAAATTTACCCAAAACTGTGACATCTGTTATAACTGATCATTAGTACTGTCATTCTTCAAAGAATACCATAAATTATGATATAACTCCTACACTTCTAGGAGAAAAAAAGATATTGACAATAGGAAAAGAGACATACGAAGAACCACACTTAAATCAGTAGAGGAACCTTTATTTTCAAAAAAATGTCAAGTCTCTGGTAAAGGCTAATGCCCGCTATCAACAACCTTGTTCTTCATATAAATTCACTAAAGTATATATATATATATGTCTATATATATATAGACATATATATATACACACACACATATATATGCTATAATTCAATCTATAATCTATTCAATCTGTAATTATAAATCACATAAGTGCTATAATTCAATCTAAGGAAAACCCACCATATTAGAAAGTAACTTTTCATTCTGCCAGAGTTTTGCGTATGTGGTATGCTTTCTCATTTGTCAAAAAAAGGAAATGATGGGAAATAATGTGAATGACTCAGTGCAAATTTATCACCATGGTCAGACTTAACTGGCAGCAAATTCCGTATCTTACCATAAGGTATGGAAAAAGAAGGAGATAGAGATGATCTCTCAGGTGTCTTCTCATTTAAACAATCAATGATTCCAGGTCAACATTTGATTGTAAAATGATTTTTTAACTTTTTAATTTGAAATAATTTCAAACTTACAGAAAAGTTCTAAGAACATTACAAAGAACTCAGGAATACCCTTCACCCAGTTTCACCAAATTAACATTTTCCTTCAGTGTGTGACTGACTGCAGAACAATGGTCAAGTTCCCTTCTACTTACAGACCAGAAATAAGATGGGTCCGTGGTAACGTCCATCTTTTTAAAACTTTCACAGATGTTGATGCAGGTAGGGGAGTCACTACAAACTCCACTCCAATTTTTCTTCATTAATGACAAATAAATAATCCACACTCGC